CTAATAATAATAAATGATACATAATTAGATAGTCTTATCAAAAAAAATCGGACCTAACATTGGGTCATTGTGTTTACAGAAAATCTACGCACACAAACCGATAACTTAATGCATGGTCACATTACTATCCGGCCCAAAAATCATCGGTTATCAGCTCTCTTTAATTTTTCAAGTAATGCTTTTTACAAAACTTCTGGATTCCTCCTGCGTCGGTTTTTGCTTAGTCGAAATTGCTGACGTTTCGCCAATGATCCTGTTGGCTTCTTCAGAGCTTGACTGAAACTGGGTCAGTCAGCATATGCGTCAAAGAATACATTGGGGAGACCGGACGAAAAATATCAACTAGGCTCAAAAAACAGAGAGCCTTAAGACTAAGACAAATAAACTCATCAGCTGTTGCCGAACACAATCACGACACCGGACATAAAATTTAATAAAACTAAAATTCTTGTATGTAATCAATTCTTCTATCAACGAAAAATCCGAGAGTCTATAGAAATCTATAAATAACCTAACAATCTTAACCGACTGAGGTCTTTACGTGTCACCAATATGGGAATCAGTCATCCGAGACAGTGTTTATGCCCCTCATTTAGCTCCGCCCTCCTCAAACAATATATAAGCAGGTACCGAATAAAATGCGAGCCAGTTTCAGTCAAGCTCTGAAGAAGTCAACAGGATGATTGGCGGAACGTCAGCAAGTTCGACTCGGCAAAAACCGACGCAGGAGGAATCCAGAAGTTTTGTAAAAAGTATATTCAATAAATACGTTTTTTGGTTGAATTCTAAAAATTTTCTAAATTATATAAATATATGAAAAAACAAAAAAGATTAAATGCTTCGTATCTCAAGAACCACTAGGTGGAACATGTTGGAAAATCACACGGCCATCAATAGAAACAATAAACCATAAGAACGTATACCCATTTCATTTACATAAAATTTGAACATTCTATCACGTAATAATGATTATTTGAGAACATAACCGCAGTCCAGCTACTGAATTTGCCAGTCAAACCTTTAAACGTGATACGCTTAAAAAACAGGTTTGTATTTCGCATCGATTGGATATTTCATATTTTATTTGACAGTGTTCAGTTGTGTGAAGATTTGCCTAACGAGAATTTATAATCTCAATGTAAAATTTTATCCTTATATGACTTGAATAGGCCTGAATTCTCTGTTTTCGTTAAAACAAATGTTACGAACCACAAAAGAGTGCCATGATAGAAAATATACTACACACGTATACATGGTATCTTAAAAAAGCTCGGCTTATTTCTGATGCAAATAGAATATTAAAAAATTAAACGACATCGCCTCTGTAAAAGGGACCCCAAAAAATGTTTTTTAATTATTTCTGAAACGGTTTAACATACCTAACTGGAATTTATAACATAAATACCTCTGATTAGGTCAAAAATAGTTTGTGCTCTTAATAATGTTGAGAATCTTTCACCATCACTAGTTTAATACGTAAAAAATATGGGAAGAACGTGTTAAGCGGTCTGCTAACAGTACAAAAGGTTGCGAATTGATATTTTTGACGAAAATTACCAATTCCATACAGTCAAAGCTGAAAAAAATTGTCTAATCTAATCTAGTTTATTGGACAATAAATGTATTCAATTAAAAATATGGAAGAATGTGACTCACCAGCCTTAATAATATTTTCATTAGTTGTTCAAGAAGTTCGCTAATTCGTCAAAAAGTTGTTTCTTTAGTAGCTTCGAAAATTCACATTCATCACAACACACACAAGACACAATTTAGACATTATATGCAGTCCTTTTTAGTTTCTAAATTGTAAAAAAAACATGTTAGCATCAAACCTTTTTTAAAGATATTCATGCGATTTTATGCGAGAAACCGACCTTCAAATTTCTTACGGATGTTTACTTAAAATATTTTACTCCACTGCATTCATTTTTATTCCAAACATCAAGTGTGCCTTTGCCAAATTCTCCTTTCTCTTTTCCTGGATCAGAACACACTTGATTTAAACTCAGTATTATAGCTGTTATTTAAAACTGTTTTCCAACAATATAGTTTATTTTATTATATAAAAATAAACAGAAACCTTAAACGTATTACCTAATATTTTTATTACATTATCTCTTATTTAAAGTTCCCATTTCAAAATAAGCAAATAAATATTGTATTTATTTGTGTACTCTATGTTATCTGATTCTCATAAGTGAAAACTAACCAACCAAGCGAAATCTGTTACCTAAGGTAAAATTAAATTTTAGATTTCAAAATGTCAGTTTTCCATCTTAATTGATGCAGGTTTTACTTTTTTAGGACAAAATGTTGCAATGCGTAAGAATATATTTAGTGCAATTGTGTGTGTTAATCCGTGTGTCATGAGCATTTTGAACTGTCGTGATATTTTTGTGTTGAATTGTCACTAGAAATGCTAATTTTGGAACATCATCATTTTCTTTTTGTTGCTAAGTAAGTAAACTTCGTAATGCAGTTTGTAATGAAAATAGTCATACACCAGATACATAGGTATCGATTGTCACTGTGACAGTCAGTCTGGTTGCGGTTGTAGTCTTCCCGTTGGCCACATAAGGTCTCGCAAGAATTGCAATTTTTTATCAATTTGAACCAAACCAAAGTTGAGTTTATATGACGTCAATAAATTAACACCTTATGGAACAAAAACTTTCTTTCGACTGCGAATACTCATCTATACAATAACGTGTCATATTAGAGTGTTTTATTGGAAACGCAAGTGGTTTTTGGTTTTGGTTTTGCGGTTTTTCCATTTTCTTGTTTAGGTTGCAATCGAGGTTGCTAGTTAAAATCTTTCAACTCTATTCCCTAACCTTGTTGATGATTCACATGGCCGTTTCCGTCCGGAAACTCACCTCGTCTTTGGGAAACATTTCTCTGTGAGAAAAAATATTATTAATACGTGTTCGCGATGATGCACGTTTGATAACGAGACTTTTCGGTTAAAATACGGTCCAAAAATAATCCTTTTAAACCGGAAATCTTAGACGTGAGAACGACGGTCTTTGAGATGGCTTATTGTTATACAAGACCGTGCCTCTAGTACCGCCGCACATTGTTTAATGGTCAATTTATGTGTCTCTTTATTTTAATATTGCAATTATACAACATATTATGGAAAATGTTAATTTAATTAGTGACGAACCTGCCGCCGAGACAAAAAAAGAGTTCACGTTATAAATAGGAAAAAATAGGTACGGGTTTGCATATTGTTTTCTGCTTTAATTTATAAATTTGTTGATAGACGCGGAAGCGATTTGTGGCAATAGTTAGTAGATATAGTAGAACCAAAACTAAAGAATAAGTTTTAAATCAATAGTGGGGAGAGAAACATTGCTGTGAGAAAAAAATCAATTCAAAAAGTCTAGAGATGAATAAATAAATGTTTATTAATCAAGGCAACACATCATTTTGTAGTGTAAAAATATACGTACTTAACTGACAAAGAACCTGCACCTGTTTACCTGTTTACCAATAAGAAAAATACTGTAAAGTAAGTCAAAACTAATTCTACGCCAATGCGTTTATCAAAGCTATAATTTTCACTTACTATCTGAGCACTAAAATTAAATTAAATTAAAAATAAATGACAACGAGTTTGTTTCAATATGCCATGCTACAAAATCTAGTTCAATTTTGTTTTTATATTTAAAAAAAATGCTTACCCCCACATGCAATGGAAAGAGAAGATTAATTTTGCTAGTAATCAATCATGCCTAGCGTCAACAGTCTACCGTAGCTCGCTCTATGTATTGTGGCTTTAATTCCAAAAACCAGGGACGGCTTGTCACCCACTAGCGGAAGTGCGATAAAATTATCTTGCTACTCACGTCTGTACTCACGTCTGTAAAATACCTAATTACACACCGATCTAGCGTGCGGGAAGCGTCACTTTACCATGTTTTTTTAATTTTTATATTAATATCTTTTCAAGACCAATTGTACCATTTTCAAATATCCATGTCTCATCAAACAAAAATTGAAGGTTAGGACCTGGAAGGAAGGTTTCCTTGCTTATACGATTCTAAAAATTGAATCATCTTAAAATCCCTATCTTTGAATGATTTTTATTAAAATTACAGTCTTTTTTCTTTAAATACACCATTTAATGATCAATTGTAAACGTTAAATAAACAACATAACGTTTTAAAATTGTCTTTATTCCTTTGTTCATATGACATATTCAATAATACCTACATCTATCTCTGTCTAAAGTACACAGTTAAAAAGAGACAACAACCGCAGAACCTATGGGAACGATAAAAACAAGTTTTACCCACGGGTTCGGAAGCAATCGCATGTTTTCGGAAATATTATCGACTGAATTTTGACTTTGTCGATTCTGACGGCCATGTCACTCACTGAATGTATTCATTAAATGTTGTTTCGCAAAAATATATCTAAAGACTAATGTTCGTAGAAAAAAAGTATAAAGTAAAAAGTTTTCTCTATATGGACTAGTGAAAATAACTCCACAAATTTGTATAATTTTTATTTTTCTTTTCTACTACATTTTTTTTGTCCTTAAAGGCATGCAAAAGAATTTCTTGTGATCTCTAAAATACAGATCGCTGTCTATTGCAAATACTTTTTTGCTTTGTTTTGGGATGGCATGCTCCAATCATTTCTGAGCTCTAATCTATTTGGAAATCATACAGTTATTAGTAATTTAGGGAGTTGTGAAATTTTTGGGTTCAAAACATTGGAAACAATTCTCATTTTGACTAGAAGCTGAGAACCAGCACACGATTATCTTTACAAATAAAAATTTTCGTGATTTGAGCACAAATCTAAATTGAGTACAATAAGAAACTTTTTTTTACAGATCATACTTTACTTTACAAATTACAAAATAATAGTGTTTGTTTCCATGGCATAAAATTTGTTTACGTTAAAAACAATTTCATTTACCTATTTTATAGGTTAGAACATTTTTTTCACTCACTAGATACTCTGTTCATTCCCTACCCCAGCTTCTTTCACTCAGTCCAGCCCTGCTTAAAGCGTCCCTTTCCATCACAACGCCAAGCACCTTCCGCGGCTATTGTAACGAAGTCGGGGAACACAAAATCTGAAAAACAAACACAGTATTAGGCCACAATACAGTTTACACCCCTCTCTGAGCACACATGGACTAGCAACCCTTAGTTCGAGGGACGAAACTGGGGTAAATTTGTCACGGCAGTGGTCGGCCAAATGCCCAAAAATGTTAAACGTTTTTGAAAGTTGATGTTTGTTTAACGACGTTTGCGAAGAAATTTCGTAATCCAAGTCACACCCAGAGGTAATTGTACCACCTCATATTATCTTCTCGAAGGACCTTAAGGAGAGTCCCGTCGATTTTGAGCCCCCACGGACGATGATTCAAGTGTGAGAAAGGTGCAGATGGAACGTGTCGAGAATAGCGATGTTGCCAACGCGTGTTTTGTTTTCATCAAGAGGTTGCACTATGATTAGTTTTCCATTTCGATATATTTATTATAATTTCATTAAAATAGAACAGACTAAGCTATTCAGAGGAGGATGTTGTGTGCTAACGAATTACAAGGTTATGTTACTTGAACATCTGTTTCACCAAAAGAAATAATTCTACGCAAATAAGTACATGTACATGTCACGTATTTCCTTTGGCTTGAAAATAGAGCATTCTGCCGTTTCAGATTTTTGTTTGGTTAGTTGAAAATTTTGTCCGTAGCATTGACGAATAAAAAAAATTGCATTTTTTCTAAATTCCAATGTGACCTGGAAAATGCAATCTACGGGTTGCCGTCCATTCGAAACAATTCAAAACACAAAACAGCAGAACGCTCATAAAATTATATTGCTCCTAAGTTATAATTATATTACCTCTGGCAACGTCTAGATTCGTTCCACGATATGAATCTTTTAAACACCACCGATTCAAGGAGATATTTAGGTCAGCGTCTATGGCGAAGACGATGCATTAAAACCTCCGCAGATTTTAGGAGGGCCTTTTTTTGTTGGCGGCGTTATGCGGTGGGTGCACGAGGGGATTGGCTTTCGAGCAACATCTTTTGCAATTTATTCCACAGATGGGTATTGTTAGGTTGGCCGTATAGCAAAAAGCATGACGACTGTGAAGTGACAAATGAATATATCCGGCATAATGAAACTTGCCTGTTAATTACTAATCCAAACTTACTAAGTAATAAGCGACATCATCATCATAAAATCTAATCAGTTAGACAAGCCGTTACGTTGGAGGGAGAAATATTGAACTGAGGTGGTTTTTACTTGATGAAAATCAATTTATCAAAATGAATAAGAACTAAAAGTACAGATTGTCACGAAATTATATATTTTTACATGACAATTGTTTCGACGTGTCTTTATCAAATGTAATATTTCCAAGCTGCCTGCTACTATGTATATCGAAAAATGACAATAAAACCTTAATTATGTTGTGAGAATTTAAGTTCAATAAATTAAGTTAAATTTAATTTTGTTAAGGTCCATGGCTTCCAATAAATTTAATTTTCTTCTTTTTGTGATTTTATGTAAAATATCAAAATTGTTGTCAAAAATATGTTTTTCTGTGTTTAAGTGTGTAGCATAATTAGAATCTAGACTTTTTTTAAACGCTCTTTTATGTTCGTTAATGAGTTTCTTGAAGGATCTACCTGTTTATCCAATATAAACTTTAGGACAAGATCCGCATTTCAACCTGTAGACACCTGATTTTTGAGATTTTTTGCATTAAGTTTTATTGTTTTTTAAAATTTTTCCTATTGTGTTGTTAGTTTTGAAACTTTTTCTTTTGAACTTAAATTCTCACTACAACCTTAATTAAGGTTTTATGGTCATTTTTCGGTATATATAGTAGCAGGTAGTTTGTAAATATTACATTTGGTAAAGACACGGTGTTGTCGAAACAATTGTCATATAAAAATATATGATTTCGTGAAAATCTGAACTTTTAGTTATTATTTAGGGAGAAATATTATTATCAATCAAGAGGAGCACCAGAGGCTAGTGACCTGGGCTACCAAATTCGAATATCATTTCTTTTGTTTTGCAATTTATGGGCTTTACTATAAAATTTAGTTATAGTAAACAATTTATATAGTAGAATGGGTCTTTGGATTTTAAATATAGAAATATAAGAAAAAGCAAACGCTAAATTCCTTAATACGAATTTCAATTAAACAAATTAATTAATTAATTAAGAGTACAAGGACAGATATAAGAAAGGAACTAGGGTAGTGGGTGGTAATCGTCTCCGGTTGGTTAGAAATAACATCAAAGAGGAAAAATAATTTTATTTTTATGGCCCAGTTCTTTTGGTTCAATTAAAATGATTAGTTGTGTTTCGTACTTCATCCACAAGTTGAACCAAGTAATCGGCATTCACGCATATCAATTTTCTTGCGTCATTTAATATAATCTCGCGATACATGAAATATATCAATGTATATCTGGAAAGAGCTCCATATTATTCGATTACTATTTTTATTTGTTACTTAGAAGGTAGAGCAGTGAATAAATAACTCCATGTAATGTAATGTGAGGCACTAAAATGATGTTTCAAGGTATGTTGTCAAGTGTGTTACAGAACTACACTTTTTTTAATTTGTTCCCGGATAAACTTGTATCAGTCTAACGAATTTGGATCTACAAATGTTAATAACAATATAAAACTCTCTACAAGAGAAGTATTTCTGTTTGAGGGTTAACAAAGTAAAACAGAAGAGACAGTTACCTGGAGTTTTATTCCCCTACCTAATAATTGTTACGAAACTGAGATGGTTTAGTGTTTCTTTAACCATTTGATCCACTTTCTAACAGATGTCTCCGTTCGTAACGAACACCCGTCGTTTTCATCATTTGTACCTTAGTAAACATTTTACTTAGTGGACGGTCCTCAAAGTACAAATTTATCTGGGAACAAATTCAAAAAATAGTTAGATTTAATCAGCCTAGTGTAGCCTTACAACATATTTCTCAGGGAATTTTCCATTTTCGATTTTCGATTTAGTCTCATATATAAAGAATTATTTTTTATCATTATCATCATCATAATAATTTATCACTGTTTGATGATACTGTTCCACTTGATTTAAAAAAGAAGGTAGTCGAAGATGTAAAACTCGAGATGGTATACATTCTAGGGCTAAAAAATTAGAGATCGATCAAAAGAACATCGAGTCGATTATTCAAAAGAATTTGAGTGACTTCGTTTCTCAAATGTCATTGAATTTGTTCAAAATGTTTGACCTACCATATGATTTCCTTGATGTTGACACTGCATCATGCGCTTCAGATGAGAGTTATAAGGCAAATGAAGAGTATTTCAAAGAAATGAGAGTTGTAAATGACGCAGCAGAACGTGGAGCAGTGTCGGTCAGTGAATAAATTAGTGTTTGACGAAAAACGAAGAACAGCTTCAATACTTGTTGCAAGTTGTCAAAGAATATCGAGGACTATTTCCTGAATGTAATAAAAATCGATTTGTATAACTTAATTTAAAAAATGTATATCTTTCTATTAATATTATAGTAATGTATAAAACTTAATATGGTGGAACAGAATCCTTTTTCTATTAATGCATTTATTGATCTTTCTGGAATAAAGAACTTTTTTTCTGAAATAGATAATAAATAATCTTTCTGCAAAACTTCTGAACTCCGCCTGTGTTGGATTTTGCTGAGTCGAAGTTAACAAAAACTGACGCAGGGGGAATCCTGCAGTTTTATAAAAAGAATTATTTCTGTCCATTTTCGCTTTTCTTAACCTTCGGCTGTGTTTATATAAACATACTTTATTAACAAATTATTCCAAAATAAAATTTGAACCCGGTATCCTTTAACATCCGATAATTGAAACCGAATCATGAATTAAAATAGAAGTTATACAAGTGCTATAAAATCCATATTAACTAACGCAAAAAAAGCCAATATATTAACTATGGGTGCGTGGGTTGACAGAAAATGTATTTATTACGTAGATTTTTCTTCCAAGGTTGCTTACTGAATCACTCTCTACCACATCGCGTTCTTATCAGCGGCGGAGAAACTACCGCACAGGATTCCGTTTAAGCTATTGCAATATACGTATATGTTGTATATCTCTACAGGGTGTCCCGCGGCAAAATTCGTCGATCTGTTTTGAGAAAACTGTAAGTAGCAAGACTGAAAATTTGGAACTAAACTAATGCTGGTGAAGGCAATCCGGCAAAAATATTTTTAACATGTCGCATCATGCGGATATATCAGAAGTGTGTCTCAACTTTCTCATTTTAAAAGGAACGTCCTATATATTATTACTATTTTGGATTCACCGAAAAATTGTAGACATATTTCATGAATAACATCCTATTCCTAAGATTCTGAGATATTTTAAATTTTGTATCACAAATGACGTCTGCAGAAAATGACATATGTGGTGATTGATACCCATAGTAGTGATAATTTTTAATTACAAATAAGACAATAAAATTGAAAAAAAATATTTTCGTCAGTTTTTTAATTTCCTTTCAATTGTTATACTTTCAACACCCTGTATGATTAATAAATTAAATTAATAATTAAAATTTTTTCAACAAACTATTGTCTACAGGTTAAGGTGAGTAAAATTTTATAGGACTCTGTGTGCGAACAATTTGCAGGTATTTTTGTATCAATAAACAACATTTTTGACATATTAAATATCTCAGAAGCGATTAAATTTTACAAAGAATTCAAAAAAGCAATAAGAAAGTTGACACCCATTTCCTTTACATACATCTTACGCCGTCTTGAAAATATTTTAGCCTAATTATCCTCACCAACGTTGGTTTAATTGCAAATGTTTGCTACATATAGTTTTCCCTTCACAGATCGAGGAATTTCCTGGAGGAATTCTTGGTATATTAGGTCAATATACATTGCGTACAAACTACACAACAAGCTTAAAATTCAATAAAAATGTTACATCAAAAATAAACAGAATTAATATGGATGGAATAATAATAATAATAATAATAATAATAATAATAATAATAATAATAAATATAATAATAGTAATTAATAATAATAAAAATAATAAATAATAAAAGTAATAATTTGATAATCA